GAAGGAATGCCTAACTGCTTGACGTCCTTGCCAACCACTCTCAAGACTTTGTCTTCGAGGAGGATCAGTGCTTGATTGAACATGACAGGTGTGTCAACGAAATCCATCACATTATTTTGGCTTCGAGTTTGCATGAAAATGTCTTCGGTCAGGCTATCTTTGAGGGACTCTCACAATTGTATCAGATCGGAAGGCCCGCAAGTGATCAGCTAGATGGCAAACGAATTTCTCAGCCTTGTCGGGACCTAGTCGCAGCTGCTTCAAGCTTCGTAGCATCCCAGTGTGCCTCATCCTCAAGTAACCTATTATTTTGCCGGTCTCAGGAAATGTTGCACAAATCTGGGAATTAACAGTCCTGAGGGCATTAAATGAAGTAGGATCTCTGACAGTGCGAAGTCGCAATAAGAGGCATTCAAAGTTATTTGGATGCACAGTATAGACGCGGCCAAGAGCATCTGCTGCTCTTATGACATCATAACCAGTTACAGCGGCTTCCTGAACTCGACACTTGAAAACATTTTCTGATGCATCCCAAATGCATTGCTGGCGCAGATCACAATGCAGCAGCGTTTTGGCGAAGTCATCTTATTGGCAGAGAAGGAAAAAGGCAGTCAATGTAGTTTTCGGCGGCTCCTGAACTCTCTGATGTAGGATGTCTTCCGTGAAATAAACGCGCGGCCCATTTTTCAAGTGCACGCTCAAATGCACAACCGTGGGGTGCCACTTGTGAATTGGAAAATCCAGGATACTCCAGACTGTCTCATTGCTGTCGATGTCCCTACCCGTCTGTAGCGCTTAACTTCATCGACTGCGGCTCCATATTTTTCCAAGACAAACACGGCCTGGTCGCTGCCCTTGTTTACGTATTTGCAGATGTACTTGATGGACTTAATCGAGTTTCAAATACTCAAGATTGATGTGGGCCAGAAAGGCTTTTCTCCAAGGAACGTTTTTCTTGAATATATATCGTGATGGATAAGGATGTCATCGAAAAATGCCACTGAATGTCACCGTTTCGGTGGTGTAGTGGTAGCATATCGGACCGGTAATCATGAGGCCAGGGTTCAATCCCCGGCCATTTCATGCCCATTTTTTGGCTTCTCTTGCCTTCCATGTCCCGTTGCTTGAATAAAACTGAGAGGTAGTTTTTAGTTTTAGAAAGTGTTCAAGACTTTCTTTCCAACCTATAGATAATATATGGCTCATATAACAATTTGGTATGTTTTGGCTGTATTTAATATATTGGATATTTGTACCTATATATAATACCATATACAGGTCCCTCATATTGTTTCTAATTTGCAATATACAGTAGATGGCCACGCATGCATTATTAATGGCAGATTGAGGCAGAGGCTCAGATGCAGTCACTCAACAACTTAACTTTGACAAGCGTTTTTGTGACTCACTTCACAAGGGGAACCTCACTCCCTCTATGCATTGAGCAAGAATTACCTGGAGTCTCCTTAAGCTAGGTTACGTCTCTCAATATATACATATATTAAAACGACTTTATTCATTCGGTTTGTACGTGGGAATACGTGGGAATTAGCGAGTAGAGGGTGAAAGCTCCGCTGAACCATTCATTGGCATTTGGGTAATCGGGAGACATGCGCGACCTCGCTTAGTGAGAACTTTCAGAGAACTTTCATTTCACACTAGTTACAAGTTTATATATTGTTTGAAGCAAGATGTTCGATCCACCAAATTTGCTGAAAATAGGGAATGTTTTATTATTCAAATTTAATTTTTAAGTTGTTTCAGAAAACGTAGGAAGTTGAAATTTATTTCTTTAAATGCTACTGCCTTAGTCTACAATTTTACGAAAGGTCGTGGTGTTACAATACATCTTAGTGTAGTAATAATTTCGTGCAAAATTCTGCAATATTTACAAATTTGGAAATTCCATAACTCAATTTCTAATAAAGGCAATAGAAAATGCATATAATAATGCGATTTTACATGGTCTCAGCTTACTTATTGTTCTAAAAGGCGTTTCTAGCTCGACTAGGACCAAAGATAGCGCTTTAAACCTAAAGGTCACTTTTCCTCTTGGGGGCAAAGTTTGGGGCCGCATCACTGGAGTTAGAACCAGAGAGCCAACATTTTGGATTTTTTCATAAGTCTTGCTTGCCAGCATGCAATAATTTTTTCAAGCAAATCGGAGTCTGAAGAGTAACCACCCCTTGACCACTTGAGCGGGAATGCCTCTAGTACGAGTAGATAAACGATCATGACTGACTGACTGACGGTAATTCTAACCATGATCTACAGAAGTTAGAAATCTGAAACTTGGTACAAAATTAGCAATTGGGATGCGGAGTTCAGAAAAAATCTGACTTTGGAGGTACATGCATTGGGTTACATTTCACGGGGGATAATTTTGCAAGCCTGGGCCCAGCCCTCAGACGGAGGTTTAGGCCTATACCATTCTGATGCACACGTCCCTTCCTCTGTTATTTAAGTGTAATTGCTATGTTGTTCACTCAGGAGGAATTCCGAATTCGAGAGGGGGGGTGGGATTGCACGTCCTGAAAACGAGTTTCATTTTAATTTTAAGGTTTTATTTTAGTTGTTTGGTTGGAGCGGGTACAATATTTGCTTGTATTGCCCAACACATTTGATGAAATGCTAAGGAGAGGAACTCCAAATGGAATGACTTCCTAACTTTCAGCCAAATTATCGAAATTTCTTGTCCAAACGTGACCATTATTTTGGATATTCATGGAAATACGAGGAAAATTTGCTTGCTCCAGCACAACCAAAGAGATATATCGAGATATGTGCTACTGTGTGGCCATGTATTGTGTAAAATGGTTCAATGTTGTGCGACAAAATGGCTGTTTTTCATATCGTTTCCTCTAATGACTTTTTGGTCATCTTGCCTCCGTGGAACCTTACTAGACTGTGGAACCGACCACTGATCAATCCTGTAGGAATGGGATTTCTGTCTTTCCCTCAAATCCCAGCTAAAATTGAAAAGAGATTCTTCACTTGCCATTTCGATGAATCCCCAAAATACTGGAGTAGTGAAGGTTCCGTTCGTGCTGAGCTTCGGACAATTGTCTGAATTCCGACTGCATGCGGTGAGGGGAAGGGGTTCCCTTGCTCATGCTTGCTTTCCGGCAATTGTCCGAAATCCAGCTTGATGTATGGGGGAGAGGAAAGCCTTCTGCATGAGCCGCGCACTTTGCCCAAAATCCAGACGGATTTCCGACAAATGGCAAAAATCCGCCGAGACGCGGGGAAAAAAATCCCTCATACTTCAGGCGCGTTTTGAACGAACAGCCGAAACCATATTAATACAGGAATTGTTATTTTCCTCAATGGGCCTTCTGCCTCCTCCGGAAATTCCAAATGTGTCTCAAATCGCCTCCTTACGAAGTTCATCCACACACATTTTCGACCTCCAATCAACTGGAATCAGCGTGTTAATATCCTTGTCAAGATTTCTCAATTTTCCTCCTTCCCAAGAGGGAAATTCTCATGTTCCCATGATGATAATAATGACAAGTGACTTTTCAGAGCCATTTCATTCATCTTTCATAGATAATTTAAAAAAAAGCCAACACTCTGACGGACGCCAATTACACATGGGAATATTGGTACAGTAATATGCAGTTACATACATCATTTAGACATCTCAGAGCAATATAAACGCGGGAGGACTGCTTCCATATCTTGAAGTGGCAAGAGCGAAGGAGAGAGAAATTATAATTTCATACTTTCTATTCAACTGCAGACAAAAAAATCACATCAGATCAAATCCGTACCGAATCGATTAAACTAGCGGAAATAAAGTGAAGTAAAAGGAGACAGAAGAAGGCAGCAGGTGCTGTTACTTGGGGGGGGGGGACACAAGAAAAACCCAACTTTTCATAGTTGAGTAAAGGCAATTAGAAACAATAACACTTGAAGTCATGTTGATAAATTTCCCTGTTCATCAGAGTCACTCGAGGAATTCTCTGCATCTAATCCATGCTTCTGGTGCACTCCTTCACCCATATCACTCGTTGCCTTCCGATGCTATCTCATTGGATTCCATGTGCGCCTCGGTTCCTACAATTGGGACACGTTTCTGATTATCGCTGATTCAGACTAATATTCATCGACCTTCACTTTAATCTCAGAATAGACAGAAAAGATTGATCTGTATATCTGAGTAACGCGGTAATATCCATGGCTTAAAGATTATCCATGACTCATTCCATTCCCTCATTTTAATCCACATGTCTCAGGGGGAATGACCGCTGAAACAGAAGTGAGAGTTTTGTCATTTCCATATAACTATATACATTTCAATCGTATTTCGAATGAAACTAGGTGAGATTTCACGAAAGAAATACTAGAGATATTGCACTGCATGGATCAGCAATGTTTTCACAAAGGCAAATGTTCTGAAATTCTTAGTTGACCATATTGAAAGGACTCATGTTTTTGAACTTGAGAGATGCGCCTCCTAGGACGCGGCCATGATAATTTTCATGATCTCTTGCATTCAAAGATGTGCATTCAAAAATACGGCGGAGAAAGAATATGATAGAGAAACTATTGACAGTTTGAAAAAATGAGAATAAGTCGATGTCACAGAAGTTCCTCATGATACTCCATACGGTCGTCTCAACCCCACTTGGTTCATATCCTAAAATCAATACATATTTTAGCAAAAGCAATTGCAGATAGAGTGAAAAAGAGTGAAACTAAATGAAGCATGAAATCGATTTCAACCAATACCGCCCTGTTTTTCATTTGTGGTCTAAGTGAAAGGTGATGCCGCTTCTTAATGAACATGATCCTCATGATGAGCTGAGATAGATGAAATCATGACCAAATATGTCGGTGTCTACTTTCTCCAGGAACTCTTCCGCTGTGATGTCCCTAATCGCATCCCTGAATCCGTTCATAGCATTATCGAATGAATTTCTAAATATTCAGCTTAACTGCATCAGTCGTGAAAGAATATCATGTAAAGTTCAATGTTCGTTCCCATTGGAGTTGCTCTATCCCTTCCTGGGGGTATCTGGAGGATCGTCTTGAGCATCGTCAGGGTGTTTCTCCCCTTCTCCCACCAGAACCAAATCCAACTCAACCAGAGATAAAATTTTCAAGGACTCTGGGATGTCTGAAATTCTGTAAGTACAAATAAATCAATATGGTAGCTAATAATCACCACGTCTTCATCATCATCAACGTTGCCATCACTTCATGATATGTGCCACTTTTTGCAGACTGCAATAGACTGCACTTACTCAAGTCCTTAACATTGGAGGGAATCCATTGGTTCGGCTTCCCGAGGCTCTCTAGGAGATCCTTCATATCGATGACTGATGTTGACAAGGGAATCTCCGAGCTGCTGGCAATCCCACAATGCATGTGAGCTTGCACGAAGAGGGGTCCTGCATCAAGAGAAGATCTTGCATTCGTGTAGTACTCATGCAGTGCCATTAACGTCGGATCACATTGTTTCCACGAACAAAGGAGAATTTCATTTTTGCGCACCAAAGTGATATACCCACCTTTACCTTCAGCCTTTCTTAGCACGGCAGACTGTGTTTTCAAATTATACTGATGAAGTGGCTGCTCAATCCTTGCCGCCTCGCAAAGGCTGTCTGTTACGTAGGCTATGGGAATTTTTTTCTCTCCCCTACAGCGGCCTTGGTTATTGCGAAGCCCCAGTAGACATCGATCGACATCAACGACCTTTAATAAACAATACTCAGCCGTCAACATTTACACGAAATCGTAATTATTGAATGGGGCCATTCTTCTCACCCCATTGGAGAATACTGCCGCACAGAAAGGTTGATTGAAAGATCCTTCTGGCATTTCCACCTGGTTTCCGGGAATGATCCTAAGCTCGATGTTTCCTGTTTGGATTTTTTGAGTTCCATAGCTCCCCAAGCAAATTTGCTCGTAATTTCTCCACTCTCCGCTCTTTTCGGCATGCTTCAACTTCACGTATGGCTTGAGAGCTTCCTCAGTGATACGCTCGGAGAATTCAGGCACAATAACTTCCTCATCCTCCTGGGCAATGCTGCACGAGAATTAAATTAATTGATATATGGAATCAGCATGGGTAGGGACGTACATCAAGATTGAAGTGTTGTCCCACATTGAAGTAAGTTCAGTTTCATTGAGCAAAGTAATATTCATATGCTACGTATATATAATTCTATGCGAAGAAGCTCCACTTTCAATTTTGACTGGAACAGGTATTACTGCATCAAGGATATTGCCAACAACGGAATGAAAGTGTGTACATCATATTATTAGCTTTCCAATTTTATTGAATTCAATGTTGCTACTGGGTGCTATATGTCACCATTAATAATTATTTAACGTCGGTATCTTATAAAAGGAATTGTATTGCTTTCGACGTTCGGTTCAAAGTTGAGTGCGAAAGTGAGTTTCTAAATGGCAATTAGCATAATTTGCAAACGTCGCAATGTATTAGCAAACGTCTTTCTGAAAAGAAGATCGGGCGCTCTACTTCCAAATGTGTATCCAACCTCATCAGGCATGATTAATTTGTAGGTCTTACCTAGCGAACGAGGCCGTCAGTGTTTTCTTCCTTACAGCACTTTCAAGCTTCCCTCGAAATTCTGCAAAGCTGCAAACTCCATCCTTCATAAGAAGCAGGTTGTCCTGTGGTAGAAGTACAAACATTCACGCATTACTTACATAGTTCGGTTGAAGGGACGCTGAAGAACCTTGCGATCCAACCAACCAGAAAATCAGTGATGGTGAGGTGAGGGTTTCCAAAAATCCCCCGCAGGTGATGCAACTTCTTCTCGGCGCTTCCTCGATCCTCATTCTCCATACTTCTAGCCACGTCAAAAAATCTCTTCACCACCTCGGATCCCATCCTCACCAGATGCTTCAAAACTCGATGTTTATTCTCGTCCTTTGGGAGCATTTCATTTCACTTAATTAAATTATTTTGCACTTCTACGATACAGAATGACATCAAAAGTCATGGCACGAATAACAACCCAGCGGGATAGTACCCAATAAGTAAATCATTGCCATGTGTGATTTCATTTTTTTTCGCTTTCAAGACTCACTCCTATTGTTAATTCAGTGATGATCGTTCCCTTGCGAGTAAAACTTCTGCGGAATATCACCATGGTCGTGCTTATTTTTTTCAACTGGGATTTGCCTGTAAGCTTTGACAGAGATACATATTTACAAGGGAGCAAGTCTTTGCATAGATTGCTTCATGAATTTGTTTTCTCTCCCGAAGGGGCAATGGGAAAAGTTTCGCAGAAAGAAGTCCGCAGTTCCCAAACGCCAGGACTTCCTCCAAAGTGGAAGTTGCAGAGGTCTGGATGACTAACTTTCTGCGATGGCACAGACAGCATTCACCCCGCTCTATTAAGATGATCTACGTTCAAGGATACAGCGCGAAGGAGCTCCATCAGCTGATGATATGCAGTCTCTCCAAAGGTATCCCCAAGGAAAACCTCCTGCATTACACGTCATTCACAGTGCTTCTGAAGAAAATGAATGTCTCTTTCGGAAAGGTGAGGTGATGATGATTTACGATTTTTTTTCTCGCATTCCTGTGAACTTATTTGTTCCTTATGCCTTGTTGGGTGTGCTAACATATTTTACTTCATTTTCTGCTGCAGCCCAATGTTTTTCCAAGTAGCAGTACGTGTACTAGCTTGAAGGACAGGAACATATAGAGAGGCAAAAAAATAAAGCACATCGTCTCCACCAATAACATTTGAGAATTGCCAAGTAAGTCTATCAATAAATAAAACTTGCACATGACTGCATAAAACGAGATAGTCATCACAGCCACTCATGAGTGACTTCAAGGAGTCTATCCGGCTCTATCAGCATGGAGCGTGATATTTTCTTATCTGTTTCTTGCTACTTTGTGCTCTAGCTCATTGGCGTAGTGTGCATAAGAAAGTGTGGGGGGGGGACCAGGAACTCTGGGATACTGTTATCATGCATTTAATTGGTATTTCCATTATTTTAGCTTATTTTCTTGAAAGTGGGGAGGAGAGAGGGTGAGGGAGGCAGTGTCCCCTTGGCCCCTCGTTGTTATGCTCTTGTTCTAGCTCAACTAATTAATCAGATCTTTAATGCCGATGACATACGAAAGACTTCAGGATCAATCAACTTGTTTTTGCCTTTCTTCACAGAATTCAGCGCCTTACCTATCAAAGTCACAGACTCGTGGCTCTTGAAGGTGAGGACTGGATGACAATTGTGGATGGTATGGATCAAAAGAAAACCAGTGTTCTCCGTTTTGCAAGGGAAGATAAGAACACAATCAACCTCTCAATTATCAACACCCATATCACAGGTACTTACACGTACCTATTTCTGGTGTATCAATTAACCCTCATCCGGGCAAGCTGCTTTACAACCTATTCCGGGCAAGGTGAGTCTGTCAGACTCACATGTAAAATAAGGCCGTTTGCTGCGGTTACGGTATGTATTTCTTTGTAAATTTCTTTGTAGTTTTGAAGAGCAAGAACATTGTGACAAAGTCACGAAAGCTCATTTTTCTAGGAAAAAAATTATGACAGTAATAGACCGAAATATGTCGTAGTGAGTCCAGCGGACTCACCTTGCCCGGATAAGGGNTTCTAGGAAAAAAATTATGACAGTAATAGACCGAAATATGTCGTAGTGAGTCCAGCGGACTCACCTTGCCCGGATAAGGGTTAATGCATCCATGCTTCCATCTAAGACACTCACATTTCTGCTACTATTCATTTTTCAATGTTGCAGTATCCACCACAGAAATTATAGCATGTTCAGTTATTTCATGCTACACATTGATTCTCTTAAAAATTTTATTTTCTCAAGGGCCAAGAATGCTGAAGCTCTGTCATCATTATTGTTCTTTTTTTAAAGTCCACTGTCCTTGCTTTCTGCATAGGGATCATGGCTTACACTAAAGAAAGCATCTGAGAATTCGCCTACGTGGATATGGGCCAATTTCCACATGACTCCAATCTTACCGCCGAAGTCATTCTCCAATCATCACTCCAATTGAGATTGAACACCAAGAGCAAGCTACTGATTCAAATGGATAATTGCTGTCGGGAAAACAAGAACAAGTACATCCTCGCTCTAGCGCATGCTCTTGTGGATTTGGACATCTTTGAGGAGGTATGATTGAGGAGGCATCATGTAACCTCTCTTCATGAACAATGCCCTTTACATGTACATTTACAATGATAATGGATTCTATTTTTTTAATCTCTGAATTCCAGTTTCCAGTTGATTTTAAATGACATTGAAAGTGATTTTGGAGAGAAAGTTCATTGGTTTCAATTTAAACCTATTTGTGACCATTATCCTATTCACATGGAATGTAAGTTTCACAAGTTTTATTTTCTTTCAGACTGTTTTCAACTTTCACCCTTTTGGCCATACCCACGAGGACTAGGTCCTGGAGAACCGCAATGTTGCTGTTGAACACAGAATCAACGTAGACACAGTGTTGATGTCAACGTTGCCTCAAGGTTTATAAAAAATGAACTTTCAATTTAAAGGAAATGTTGATAGCACAGTGTGGTATCAAGGTTAGCTGCATTGACGCAGTAACGTTGAGTCAATGTTGATTCTCCATGAATGTGCTTGGAAGTGGCATTGAAAGTGAAAAAGGTAATTAACTTTTTAATGACTCATTCCATTAAAATTTATGACTACTTCTGCTAGCCAACAGAACGTGACAATTAATATGAGAACAGTCTCACCTTCATGCTACCTCCCCTTCAATGGTTGAGTGCGTATTATAATGTCTATGATAGCTTTATAACCTCCTCTCGCAAGAAATTGGATGATGCGGCCCTCCATACTGAGATATCCTTTGTCTTGAGGCCATTTCACGCTTTGCGCATGGTGTACGCTATGTCGACACTCACGCGGCATACGTCTGCATACGTCCACGTGCATTCCGATGCAAAGGAACGCGCGTGAACATGCATACTACGACAAATACAGGGTGGCCCAGATTAATATATACATTTTTTAACAAGGCCGTATGCCTTAAGTATTTTAATACCTGCATGTAACTATGGTGGAATACATTGTCAAAGGATCGAAAAAAAGTTCTAGGAATTGAACCTGGGCCTCGCGATTACTGGTGAGACCTGCTAGCACTTCACCACCAAAACGGAGACATGCATCTGCATCTCTCGATGACATCCTTATCCATCACGATATATATTTTTTTAAAAACTTTTCCCTTCAAAATGCGTACCCTAAGGGGATGTACCCCAAAACTCGGATATTTTCTGAGCTCTGCACCCCAAAAGTTACATGTGTACCAAGATTCAGATTTCTAGCCTTTCTGGAACATGGTTAGAATTAACGTCAGTCAGTCACAATCGTGTATATATATTTGATGGCTATACCTCTGACCACTGGTTTCCATCTCTTAGCGTCCAATTCCGAGGAAAGGTGATGAAAACAACCTAATGGAATACTTAATAGTAGTCTTTCGAGACACAATGAAATTGTGAAGTTGATAGCAGGAAGCATTAGCGACTTTGTATCTATTAATGCAGCGACTCGCTACGACCCCTCTTATTTGGACAATTTAAACTTCGAGAGCATGAAAGACCACGAATAATTAGTGGATGATTCGCTATTCATGGATTCGCTGATGACGTATATTAGATGGAAATGTATTTGTTACGCTTCATATGAGAAAAGCAAAGGTATAAGAAGGAGCACGAACTTATTAAAAAATATTGAAGTCCTGGAGGAAAAGGTAGATGCGGGACAGAATTATTGTTTACAAATCCTTGAGGAGTCAAGAAATAAGCTACAGGAACTCAGGAGGAGAAAAGTAGATGGTCTCACCATTCGCTCTAAATGTAGATTGGAGTTGTTTGGAGAGAAACCTACTAGGTATTTCACCATGATGCTTAAGAAGAGGATTCATGACTAGAACATTTATGAATTAAATATTGGCTGCATTGAAATCAGAGAGAGATATAGCATTTTGATCACGTCCTATTGCTGGAACCTATACACTTCTCGGGAAAATGAAATAAGTGAGAAAATTTGTCAATATGTCTTTCAATTTTTTAATGAAACCAACTGCCCAAAATTGTCCGAATATGAAAAAATTGATCTAGAGGGCGATATATCTGTACAATAGGCACATCACGCACTAATGACAATGGAAAATGGTAAAAATCCTGGATCGGATGGTTTTACGTCGGAGTTGTATGTACATATTTAGCATTGTTTAGCAGGTTTTGCAGTGAGATACCGAAATCTTTGCAACAAGCGAGGTTGGTTCTCGGCCTCATAAAGGGAAGGCGTAATCTCTATAATACAGGAAAATGACAAGCCGAGAGAATTCATCTCCAATTGGAAACCTATTACTTTTGATCAATACTGTAAAAAAAAGTTTGTTCTTCGTGCTTAGGGAACAGGTTGAGAAAGATTTTGCCAAAGTTAATCCATCCAGACTAGAAAGATTTTATGGAGGGTCGAGAAATGTTCCACTGTGTAAGGAACGTATATGATATGATGAAATTATTAACGGACTAGAGAATTCCAGTAGTCTTTCTTCTGACAGACAACGAAAAAACCTGTGACTCTGTCGCCCATTCATTTCTATTTAAAGGGGTGGAATTCTTTCTGAATTTTTTTACAAGCAGCATCCCGGTAGGTAATTATGTACCATGTTTCATCTCTCCACACTAGCTCAATACACCAGGACAAAAAAATATGAACACATCGGCACCCAAAAATGTGCTCCCAGGGCATGGATCTAAAATTTTGCATTTTTCCTGAACTCATCGTGTCGATAGGCACGTCCTTGCCACGTTTCAGCTTTCCATGTCTCTCCCTTTTATTCTAGCAACGGGACATGGAAGGAAAGAGAAGGCAAAAAAGTACTAGGAATTGAACCTGGGCCTCGCGCTTACTGGTGAGACCTGCTAGCACTTCACCACCGAAACGGAGACATGCATCTGTATCACTCGATGACATCCTTATCCATCACGATATATATTTAAAAAAAACTTTTCATCTCAAAATGCGTACCTTAAGGTCATGTTCCTCAAAAGTCGGATATTTTTTTAACTCTGCACCCCAAAAGGTACATGTGTACCAATTTTCAGATTTCTAACCTTTCTGGAACATGGTTAGAATAAGCATTAGTCAGTCACGATCGTCTATATATATTAGATGAAAATAAAATTCTTTCTTTAACCAGCTATTCATCAGGTACTTCTTGGCTAAGTTTAAACTTTCTACCACACTCCGTTTTCCTGGATCAGAAAATTCAGGAAAATCTGGAAAATGTGTGCCTTTTTACGTTTAAACCGAAAAGCACCATTTTTTTTTTACCGAAATCAAACCTCAGTGAACTTCATGCTCAGCAAGGGTCGATCTTATGCATTGGCCCTTTTCGCTTGTGCAAAATCATGCTTGGAAGTGCCCACCCACCCAAAAGCTATTCCCGGCGGGAATGCACCATGAAAGCAGAATACTCCCTCAACTCAATGAGATCTCGTCACTTATACGTGTGCCAAGTTTCACCTTTCCATTTCGGTCAAATTCGCCACAACAATTTCTTTTTTTTAAAACATCGCTCCTCGAGAAGTTTTCCCCAGGGGATGTATCTAGACTTAACATTTTTCTTTAACTACTTATCTTGGTAGTCACATTCATGCAAATTTCCAGCTTTCCATGTCCATCAGTTTAACTAATGCAAACAATTCTGTGAAAACATTTCCGTTTGAAATGTATGCCCCCAGGGCATTTCATTCCAAAGTCTGAATTTTTCTACATGCAGCATACCGATAGGTAATTATGTACCAAGTTTCATCTTTCCACACTAGCTCAATACACCAGGACAAAAAATAAATACTTGAAAACGTCGGCCCCAAAAAATATGCCCCCAGGACGTGGATCTAAAATTTTGCATTTTTTAAACTGAACTTATCGTGTCAGTAGGCACATCCATGCCACGTTTCAGCTTTCAATGTCTCTCCCTTTTATTCTGGCAATGCGACATGGAAGGCAAGAGAAGCCCAAAAAAAGTGCTAGGAATTGAACCTGGGCCTCGCCCTTACTGGTGAGACCTGCTAGCGCTTCACCACCGAAACGGAGATATGTATCTGCATCTCTCGATGACATCCTTATCCATCACGTTGTATATTAAAAAAAAAACTCTACCCCCAAAATGTGTACCCCCAGGGGATGTACCTTCAAAGTCGGATATTTTCTGAACTCTGCACCCCAAAAGGTACATGTGCACCAAGTTTCAGATTTCAAACCTTTCCGGAACATGGTTAGTTAATCGCAGTCAGTCAGTCAGTGGATCGTCTATATATATTAGATTCTTGGGCATCTGTATGCAAAAACACTACAAAATCCCATTCCAGCCGCCGAGCTTGGAATGTGCTGCGACACCTTGGTGGTGCAGCTCCCACAACAACCACAAACCCGAAGGTTAGCGCGGACAACGTAGCTGCCCAACTGTTCGCTAACTCAAAAACAACCGCGCCCCGGGCAACCCAAAGGGAGGTGAAAACTGCCCTGAAGGCATCCCTTGCGGCTTGCGTCTCGACGTCAATACTCTCAGAGCCTTTCAAGAAGGTCGAAATTGACCCCGCTCTCTCCGCCACCAAAACCCATAAGGCGGCAGGTCAAGACGGAATTCTTCCAGACTTTTTGAAAAATCTGCAAGAAAGAGCACACACCTGGCTCGCGAAACTATTCAGCAACATCCTTAACTTAGGAAAACTACCGAAAATATGGCGAATGGGCAAACATAAATGCTAGGAATCGAAATTGCGACACAGTTTCACGTTTCTTTCTGATTTTCCCTAAGCTAAATTTTAGACCTGAAATTCTTTCAAATACATCTAGGCAGTTCAGAATTTCTCTTAGGCCTTGGTCGTCGCTATGAAACAGAAGTGTTGTTTCATCGGCGTACAATTTCACCTTAGGGGAGTGAAGCCCTTTTAAGGAAATATGAGAAATAAGTGGGTTTTATCTTAACATGCACGCGAAAATTTCAGCTCAGAACTGAAACAAATAAGTGAAAAAGCATTGACATGTCTACAACCACGTTCAACTGGGAATGATCTTGACAACATTTCATTATGAAAAACTGATGAGGAAGCGTTGCAATTGAAAGTTCGTACCCATTGAACCGGAACAGGGCCGAAATGAAAGAATTCCACCCCTTTAAATAGAAATGAATGGGCGACAGAGTCACAGGTTTTTTCGTTGCCTGTCAGCAGAAACACTACTGGAATTCTCTAGCCGGTTAATAATTTCATCATATCATATACGTTCCTTACACAGTGGAACATTTCTCGACCCTGCATAAAACCTTTCTAGTCTGGATGGATTAACTTTGGCAAATTCTTTCTCAACCTGTTCCCTAAGCACGAAGAACAAACTTTTTTTTTTTACAGCATTGATCAAAAGTAATAGGTTTCCAATTGGAGATGAATTCTCTCGGCTTGTCATTTTCCTGTATTATAGAGATTACGCCTTCCCTTTATGAGGCCGAGAACCAACCTCGCTTGTTGCAAAGACTTCGGTATCTCACTGCAAAACCTGCTAAACAATGCTAAATATGTACATAAAACTCCGACGTAAAACCATCCGATCCAGGATTTTTACCATTTTCCATTGTCATTAGTGCGTGATGTGCCTATTGTACAGATATATCGCCCTCTAGATCAATTTTTTCATATTCGGACAATTTTGGGC